GGTGGGGATTGAGTGGGTAGGACAGAAGCTGAGATTTTTGTCTCCAAGACTCCCTCTGGCCGAGGTGCTGAGACCAGACCTTGGCTGGAGGAAGCAGAGGAGAGTCTGACTCATGAGCACTGGGTGGGGGTGTGTGTGCTGGGGCGACAGTCAATGCAGGTGCATTGGGAGGCGGAAGGGGCAGTTGCTGCCAAGTTGGCTGTGACCTCAGAGAAAGAGTGACAGAATCACCAGGGTCTTGGGTGCAGGTGTGGGCGCAGCAGGGACTTAGTAGGGAGCATTGAACTGTGGGAGTCCTCTGACCACTGCAGTGAGGTCAAGCTGACCCCACACCTGCTGGGGTCACCCCAGGTAGACAAAGGAGAGGGAGAGCCTTGAGGAAAGGATCTCAAGGAGGAGGGTCGAGAGGCCAAGAGAGGCCTTCCACGCACTCTGAGCTGGGACCTGGCGCCCAGGATGCAGTTGAGCGCACGTTGTAGGGTGGTGCCCCAGGGACTTTGCGACGTGCCTTCTTCTACTCTGTTCCCTACAGGCCCTCATTGGCTGAGGCCTTTGCGGGCCCTGTGAGACCCCCCAAAGAAATAAGGCCAGCAAAGGTCAAGAACCATGTTACAGCTGCAGAAACTGAGTCCAGGCAGAGATAGGGTGGTGCCTGCCTCAAGTCGGGCACGTGGCCTGGCACCTAGCTCCTCAGCCCCAGCCCCCAGCCCCGTCCCAGGAGTGGTTGCTTACCCATCAATGACAGGTGTGCCCTGCATAATTCTCTCTGCCTCTTTCCGAAACTGATCTGCAGTGCAGACGGCCACCAGGGGCCAGAGCCACCAGCTGGTCCACATGACACAGGCCCCGGGGCCCGGCTCCTGCAGCTGCTCCTGACCCGGCTCCTTGTGCAGGGAGGACAAGCTGGCTGGAAGACAGTGCAGGGGACTTTGGTCAGGTAATTGCTGCCAGGAGCTGCCCAGTTTATCAGCAATCAGCACATTCCCGGTGAGGGTGGGTAGATGGAAGTCCCAGAACCTGTGGCTAGGCATTGCTGTCTGGGTCAGGCTGAAGGGTACTAAGAGGCTGCTGACCACAGGGGCCAGAGTCCAGACAGAAGGACACAGCTCAGGTGGCGGGGGCTGGACAAGGGTGACAGAGCGAGGTACTTGCCTCAAGCACAACTGTCAGATGGTGGCACCAGAAACCTCAGTTATCAAGATAAGTGGTATTTTAATGCAATAGTTTAAAAAAATAAAAATTTGCGCAAATATAATCCACGATGAAGAAAATACACAACTTTTAAGTGAAGAAAGGGCCAGTCTTCTGACTTCCCCTTCTGGCCCAGCTCTGACAGCGCTCCACAGGGCTCCGGTCTCATGGGGACAGTTTCATTCTGTCTCATAGCTTCAGCTGCAGGTGCCTCTTGCGAGTTGGTGGCAGGATGGCATTTCTAGGAGGGACACTGTGGGTGTGACCGTGGTCTTTAGGTGTACTTGGAGAAGACTCAGGCCACTGGGCCACACCATGAGGCGGGCCCCCGAGCACCCTTGTTCAAACCTTACAGGAATTTCAGACGACAGCAGAGCTCACATGGGGGGGCCGTCTGAGTAGGGCCCTGAATGGACCCATCTTGCATCATTTCTTTGTTTGACCGGTACCCTGTGGGGTGGCCGGCGAGTGCTGACTGGGCTTCGGAGTCAGACTGTGCATGAGCAGGTTAGATCTGCAGCCCCATCTGTTAAGTGGAAGCCACCGCAGTCCCTGCTCCACCACAGCCTGCAACTCACATTAGAAGCTGTTTGCTCTGTAGGTTTTTTTTTTTGTTTTTGTTTTTTGTTTTTAACCCTTACCCGAGGATATTTTTTCCATGCTCTTCAGAGAGAGTGGGAGGGAGAGAGAAACATCGATGTGAGAGAAACTCCGATTGGTTGCCTCCTGCACTCGGCCCGACGGGGGCTGGGGATTGAGTCTGCAATGGAGGAATGTGCTTTGGCTGGAATCGAACCCGAGACCCTTCAGTTCACGGGTTGATGCTCTAACCACTGAGCCAAACCGGCGAGGGCTGCTTCGTAGGTTTTCTATTCATTCTGGAGTTGACGATCGCCTTTGTCTTCTGAGCACTGTGCTTTAGTCCGCGGTTTCTGTGCGGTTTCAGCACACGAGTCTTCCTCCTTTTCAGCTCTTGTGCTTGTTTTGTGGGCGCTGGTGCTGAAATCCCCCCCTGGCTGTGGTGCATGGGGAGCAGGCGTCGGCGCCCAGGAGCTCTCAGAGGCACTTCTGGGCGGTAGACTGTCCCCTCAGAGTCTGACATCTCCACTTCTGTGCACAGGCTATGATGAGGAGCCCAGCGTCATCCAGGTCCCACTTCTTTGTGGGTGGCAATCGTGAGTTGCTGTGTCATCCTCAGGGCTCTGCAATGTCTCCAAGACGCGCCTGAGCTCCAGGCTGTTGTTCATGCAGCTGGCTCAGCGTTCGGTTCACAGTCCAAGTCTCTGTCTTCGTCAAGAGGAGCATCCCGTCCCTGGGCCTCCCCTGTGTCCTGCTCTCGCCCAGAGGACAGCCCTCCCGCGTTGGCCCTTCTGTCTCCTGTGTTTTCTCTCCTGTTTTAGGTTTCCTTCTGCTTTTCTTTTGTTCCAAGCACATCCACTTAGTATCTTCTCTGGGGAATTCTATGGCTAGTGTCTTAAGAGTGGTTTCTAGTGTTTTGGTGGCTGAGTTCTCTCCTGGCGCCGGCTCTGGTTATGGAAACAATATTGTCTGACGTCAGAGCACTTGTCTTCTGCTGACTGGACTCACTTTCCCAGCTTGTTTGTCCGGACCTGTGGTTTCATTCGCAGCCTCTCCTCGAGCAGCGGGTGGCTTCTTCCCTTTGCATTCAGCATTCAGGGACCCAGCGTGCAGGAGCTGGTGGCACCATGTATGTGGGCTCTGTGCAGAATGGGCGAGTGGCCAGCCATAGACGGGCCTGGTGCCAGAGCTGGACTCGAGCACGAGTTCTGCCTGAGCTTCTGTTTCCAGTCTGGACTCCCACCCCTCACACCACCTGTCCTGGTGAGGCTCAGGGAGAGAGCAGGGTCTGGCCCACCCCACGTGTTCTCCTCACGGCGCGACGTTGACCTCCTCTCCAGAGGTGGTGGCCCTCCTAACATCTGTCTACCCCCTGGACCTGTCTCCTGGAAAACCCCCATGAGAACCCGGCATAACTGTCTTCCCAGCAGCCCCAGCTTGGCCCCAACCAGACCTGAGCCTTCAGGTGACCCCAGCCTGCCTTCAACTTTTCCAGCTGAGGCCCAGACCCAGATGAATTTGTAACTCATAGGCTGGTGGCTTCTTCATGTCCTCCAGGAGGTCCTGCCCTGACCCTACTCCCCTGGGGTGACTGTACAGCCTGGCTGGCTTCCCTGTAACCCCCTGGTTTGCACAGTGGCTGGTCCCTCCATTAGGGACACCCCAAGAGGAAGGTGGCTCCAGCCTTATCTCACTGCCTCCCCTACCCCCAAAGCCACCCTCTTACCCCTTGACCTGGCACCAGTGAACTCTGCTCATCCCACTCTCCATCCATTGCCAGAGAACCCCAGATGCCCAGCTTGTGGGGCCTCCCCACGCCCGCCCGTGATGCACTCACCTGTCTGCCTCCCCCTAGTTCAAACTCAGAGGCCTCACTGGGTATACAGCAGGTGCCCACTAACACATGCACTGGCAGGCGCACCCTCACTCAGGTGGCTCCAGTGGTCGGGGATCAGAGCCCAAGCCTGCAGCCCCTCCCAGAGTCCCCAGGCTCCCCAGACTCACCAGAAGAGGGAGATGCCGATGGAGCCTGCCTCACGGCCACTCTGCTCCCCGTCAGGAGCTTGGGGGTTTGTTGCTCTTTTTCTCAAGTTTCATCCCTCCCCTGAGTTTTCAGCCAGCTTCACTTGCACAAAAAAGCCACCTCTTAAAAGGAAAATTTCCCCCAGGGGCCTTAGCCACACCACCAGAGCAGGACAAGGGGCTAATATCTCCCACATGTCAGTGGGTTCTAGTTTCTGCAGATGCAAATGAGGCCTCCGTAGGCTCGGCCCTCTTGGGCTCAGGCTCCCTCTTGATCCACAGGCTGGGCCTCAGGCCCTGGGCAGGAAAGACTGCAGGGACTGTGTTGGTGGCAAGGTCCCCAGGGAATGACATGGGGACTGGCTCAGTGGGAGGGTTGATTTAGGAGATGGGAGGAAGGGGCTTGGTGCTAGGGCTCCTGGAGGGTCCCTGGGTGCCGGGGGCCCTGCTGCAGAGCTTACAGTGTCCCCGACAGCAGTCAGCTAAGGATTCAGGGGTTCCAGCCCAGGTACCTTCTCTCGGTGCCCTGACTCCTGCCACTGCCCTTGCTGCCTGGGGACCCTCTGCCTGATCCAGGAAAAGGTCTGCCTTGAATGACCAGCGGCTGGGGGCTCTGGATTCCATCATGTAATGGGGAGGGGGGTGAATCTCTTTACATTCCCAGCTACCAAGAATCAAAAGCAGTCACAGTAGGTCGGCTGGAATGCCCTCTGGCAGAGCCACAAGGACTTTCAAAATCTAGGGAAGGTCTGTGTGTGACCAGGCCCAGCTGGGGGCGGGTTCATCAAATAGTTTCAGAATTCTGAGGTTGGGTGGGGACACACCCTGCTGGGCTACCAGAAGCTGGGTGGGGTCATTGTGTTGGATGCACAGCCCCCACCCTTGCTCACCCTCTGCCAGTCACTGTCTTTAAATGGGGAACAGTCCCCAGCCGGGGTACTGCCATGAGGGGTTCAAATGCCAGACTTGGAAGGGGACGTAGTGATGATCCTGGGGCCAGATGTGGGACTCCCCTCACTTCAGAGCTCAGGGGGGTCGGAGTGAGAAGGGGCTCTGATGGAGGGCGCGTCCAAGTAGAGGATGGCAGAGCTGTGAGGGCCGCCCACCCTGGCTCCCTGACCCTCCCCCCTGGGCAGAGCTGGCTGTGAACGGGACATGGAGAGTGAGGGCCCAGGAGAGGAGCTGAGTGGGTGCCCTGCTCCTGGGGAGGGCAGGACAGAGCTGCATGTGCTCTGGGCATCCAGACTGGGGCCTGGACTGTGGAGCAGCCTCCCCAACTCCACATTCAGGGTGCAGTGCCTGCTGGGCCTGCCCCAGACCGAACAGGGCTAGTGCTCCTCTGGTGGCACCCCCACTTAGGGACAGGCAGGAAGCCTGGGTCTGGTGTTCGCACTGACCTTCGGGGGAAGGGCCAGGTGTTGGGCAGAGATTTCTACTTTCAATGCTATTTTTGCTCTGTTTCACAGTTTCAGCATGTGCACTAACGTGGGAAAACTAAATTAATTACAACAGAAGAAGAGGCTCCTGAGGGCTCATGCAGGCCACCCTATGTTCTGCAGAGTTATAGGGGTCCCCACCAAATCTGGGCACCCTGAGCCCTCTGTTTAGGGGCTGCTTGGCTGATTCCCTCACCCTCTCCTCACCCTCACCTTGGGGTCAGGAGTCCTGATGGGACCAGGGACAGAAGGCAAGTGTGGGGACGCAGGGAGGTTGCAGGAGGTGCTTGCCTCATCTGGGGCACCTTACTCTTCCTGCTTTCCCATTTGTGGCCCTGAGTGAGGGAGCAGACCAGCTGCCCTAAGGAGGACAGTGCCACTGGCCCCTGGGGTTGGCCTTTTGGTGAGGCTTCCTGAGGAAGTCAGGGGTCAAGGATTCACACCTCTGAAGTGGTGGCTTCTCCATTCTTCCTGGGGCTGAGGGGCCCTGGGTCCCCCATATGTTCCAGCTCAGAGCCAGCACCTGGGCCCAGTGGAGAAAGCAGGAAGGAAACGACCCCAGAGTGGCTGGTGGGGCCTGAGAAGGGCCACTGGGCTTGTAAGGAAGT